GGCTCCAGCGTCAGGGAGGAGCAGGATGAGCAGGTGGAATGACATTGCCGAGAGCAGCTGTGAACACAGAGCAGCAAGAAACAGTTTGTTAATTATTTCACAGGTCTTTTTTTAAATGACACTCAGCTCTTCGGATTAAAGAACTCAGAGTGCTTTATGAATCCGAGTTGCCAGTGGCTCCCCTGGGAGAGAAGGAAACGTTATCCCTTTCGCTGAAGGACCCCGGGGTTAAGTGGGCTGCTCTGAGCCACAGCCAGCCACGGGCAGGAGCTTGGCTTTCCAGGCGCCTGCTCTAATCACACATCTAAGGAACGTAATCAAACTGCACCGCACACGGAGAGGCAGCACAGAAAACAGGCAGGGCCCCAGAGAAGGAAAACGAGTAAAGGGGGTGAAGAGCAAAGCTCTGAAATCAGCCTTTGCATCGTTCTCGGTCTAGTGGCAGGAATGCTGCTGCGGGCCGGGCAGGAAGCTGCAGTGGAAGTCATTCCAATGGCATTTCCTGGAGAGCACTGCAGAAAAGCCTCCCAGGTCGCAGGCAGGGTGAGGAGCTGCCAGGGCTCTGCCGAGCCCAGTTCTCCAGCCGTCAGTGAGGATACAGCTACATGGGCTGCTCACTCCAGGCAGGACAGTCTGAGCCGAGACCCTGCCAGCAGCTCCCAAAGCCAGGGAGGAACACACAGGAATGTGAAGGGATTGGGGGGGACCCTGCTGGCAGAAGGACAGTATTTTTTTCACCCCAAGCAGGTGATGACAATGGGGCCATGGTCTCAGCTGCAAGGGATCAAGGCTGTAAAATAATTACAGAGGCCAAAGTGCAAAGCGACAGCCCAGCTGAGCTCCACAGGCCACTGAAGGGGATTCACAGAATGGTTCAGGCTGGAAGGGACCTTAAAGCTCATCTTGTTCCAACCCCTCTGCCATGGGGAGGGACACCTTCCACTATCCCTGGTTGCTCCAAGCCCCGCCCAACCTGGCTGTGAACACTTCCAGGGATGGGGCAGCCACAGCTTCTCTGGGCAACCTTTGCCAGGGCCTCAGGACCCCCATAGTGAAAAATTCTTTCCTAACATACAATCTGACTCTGCCCTCTGCCAGTGTGAAACCATTGCCCCTTGTCCTGTTACTCCATCTTCTTGTCCAAAATCCCCCTCCAGCTCTCTTGGAACCCCTTTGGGCATTGGAAGGGGTTCTAAGGTCTCCTCGGAGCCTTCTCTTCTCCAAGCTGAACAACCCCAACTCTCACAGTCTGTCTCCATAGAATTCATCTCCAAGACTGCAAAATGTGGCCTTGGCTATGCTCAGTCACCTCCACAGTCAGCTCTGCTGGGTGGTGGTGTGGTGGCCAGCACGTGAAACCAATCTCAAACAGGATTAGAAGTGCTGGGACATCCCCGAAAACCAACATGTTCAATGCTCAGAAGGGCAGAGCTTTGGAAAATGACACTCCCAGGTAACGTGGTGGTGGCAGGGACAGCTTGTGCAGGATACCTGGGTGATGGCACAAGGCCAAGAAGTGTTTCCCAAGAGCTGAGAATCACAGTGTAGGCTCTCAACCTGAAACCATTGAGGAGCCTGGAGCCAGAGCACAGGACGAAATCCCAGCTGCACTCTGTCATATGACACAGGCTGAGTCATTTCCTACCATTCAGAAAAAACTAAAAAGATAGAAAATGAGTTTGCTATATTGAAATCTTCAAAGGGTTTTCCCCAAAGAGAACCACAAGCTTCCAGGCCACTGCAGAGCAACACAACACATGTCCCAGCACACAAAGTCCTGTGTGGCCAGGGCCAGCTGAGAGCCCGGGAAGCACCACGCAATCGCAGGAAGTAGTCCATCCTCCTTCAGCCTAGCCCAGTTTGTTGGGATTCAGATGTGACTGGTGACAAAGATGCTGTTTGCTTTCACAGCCCCCTCATACTGGTTCCCACCATTGGCCCCACAAACAGGAAATCTGCCATCCACAGATATACCTCCAAGCCCCTCCAGAACACCCTCCTTAAATCCCACTCTGAATGTGGGTTTAGCCTTGAAGGAAGAGCTGTCATGCACTGGAGGGTCACAGCCAGGCAGGAACTACTGCTCACTTTCCTTTCTCAAACAGATTAAGCACGGTCAGTACATCTCTGCCTGCCAGGCTCTTTCCTGCTTGCTCTGCGCTTCCCCCTCCTGCCTTTCCACTCACCAGATTTCTCCCTCCATGACTCCTGATACCCACTGGGATCACCATTTGAACTTCATGGCTAGTGGGATCTGGTCCTGGCCAAAGCAACTGCCCCAGGAAAGCTTCTTCTATGGATCTGATGGCTTGCCAAGGCAGCAGCTCTCTTCTGACTGGTTATTAAACATTTCCCTTGGGTTGCTCTCGTTTGTTTGTTTTCCCAGTGCCAGATTGCAGAGAGGAGGGCAAACCAAGGCAGTGACAAAACACTCCCATGTTAACGCTATGGAGTGAGACTTACCATTTCCCCCTTGCCTCAAAAAATGATTTCTCAAGAGAACTGCTACAGCCCAGCACGCAGCAGCCTCCAAAGGCACCTGCACCCCGCAGCCACCCTATGCTGCCTTTGTTCCACTGGTGGTGAATGAAACAGAGCTTCCTACACAATCGTGCTGTGCGGCACTTGTGACGGAGCCACGCTCCTTCCCTCTTTCAGAGGGGCTTTTCAGGAAGAGCAGTGCTGCAGCTCTCCAAAGCACAAACCACCTGGGCCCTGCCAAGCAGGCCTGCCAGAACTTGCATCCCTCTCACTGGGACCTGCCTGCTGCACCTCTCGGGAGCGCTTTGTTTGCATGGGACAGGCTCTAACAGCTCCGATGCACCAAACGGAATTCCCTGTGCAAACAGGGCGGCAGGAGAGGGACGGCTCCAGCACAGCCAGAGCAGGAGGGTGGCACTGCTCTTGCAAGGGAGAGCTGGCAGCGGGCCAGCGGCTTTCTCCCTGCAGCTGGAATCGCGCGAGAGCGAAGGGAAGCGAAGCATCCCCACGCACACCCCACACATGAGGCACCCGGGAGCTCTTATGGCCTCTGTCCCTTGGCATGGACTGGGATGGATGCTCCCGAGAAGGGACATGGTAAAACCTCAGCGTGGGGGAAAGCTATGGCTGAGACCTCAAACAGGCACTGGTGGGGGTTTGCAACAGGCTGGCAGCAGCCGCAGGCCTGGCCCTGTTTTTTAGGTGGCTGGTGAGGTGGATCCCCCCCACTTTGGCCTTCATCACCCTGCCCAGCTCCTCTTCAGCTCTCAGCAGAGCAGCACAGCCAGGGGAGGGAAGTTAGAAGCTTGGTTCAAGGTTAGAACAAGAGAGCAAGGCTGTCCCCTGAGTGGGAAACGGCGATTTTCAAAGCGAGAGCTGGTGGGCGGGTCGGATAGAGAGGGAGTCCTGACCCTTCCGCAATCTGTTGAACAAATATTTGCTCCAAACAATTAATTTAGAGACAGACACAAAAAAATTGAAGAGTCTGAATCGTCATGGTTGGGGGTGGGGAACAGAGGGAGGAGGTATTTCATTCCCTGCAAGCAGGGACCAGTGATTTTCCACCAGTGATTTAATCTAAATCCCCCAGAGAGTTCATTTACAAAAAATCAGATTGCATTATCGCCTAGGTCTCCAGGATACAGCCCAATCCGTCACTAACAGCAACAGCCACACTAGCTTGGAAACCTCAATTTGATCACTCAATTCCAAGACTAATCTGTGGCTTTAAAAGCCAAGGCCAGAGGGAGGGGGAAGGACCTCTGAATTTGGCCAGGGTTATCTGCAGGATGAGAGAGCTAATGGGCCAGATACAGCCAGATGAAATGGTCAGCAGATCCTGGGTTATTAATCGAAACCAAGCTCCTCTCCTTGCCTGAGCAGCCCCACCCAGGCAGTGCCCCAGGGCGGCCACATTCTTGGAATTCCTGCACCCTTCACGAACTGGCTCCCTCTCCCTGGGTGCACCGGCTCCCCCTCTTCTCCAGGGTCCCCAGCATTGCTGGCTAGGCACGGGGAACTGGGGAGAGCCTTTCCTCTGTCAGGAGGGTGCAGAGCACAATGCTGAGCTCCAAGGCTCCCGTCCCCTTCCCAAAATATGGGGTTCTGCTGATGGACCGTGAGCTGAAGGGGGCCAAGAGGTCTCAGCTCCCAGCAAGGAGGCGATTCCCCACCATTTAGATGCCGATGCCTGACAGCATGAACTCTTTCCAGTGGGAACCGGTAAAGGTTACACCAGCAGGGAATCACTGGGATGCAGAAGCCAAACGAAAACTCAGACATCTGTAGGTCATATACCTCCCGCCGGCAGTCCCAGGCTGCACCGCACAGCCGGACCCGGCATTTCAAGAATGCTTCCTGAAGAAATGCTTATTCATGTTAATACCTCACTACTGAGAGCTCCCGGGGTTTGCTGCTGGGGCAGCTGGGAGCACTGCTCCCTGCCAAGGGAGAAGCAGCTGCAGGTTTAGCAGCTCCTCAGCACAGGGGTTGCCCCCACCTCAGCTCTGGCTCCCACCACACCAGCTCAGACAGTCCCAGAAGCCCACCCGCCCGCTGGGATCTGCTGTGGGATTCACTTCACCACTAGCAAGGCACAGTGCTGTCTCCAGAATGAAGAAGTAGCTGTTACCTCGGGAAACCACCAGCCAGCCCACCACAGCACTGCCTTGGAGAGGAGGAAGCTCCACTCCCTGCTGTTAATGACACCAGGAATATCCCCCAGAGCAAGGGCTCTGCTTGAAGAACAAGCTCGGATAACATTAGATTTCCAAAGGAAAATGGAGAAGAAACAGGGAGAAGGACACGTCTGAGCACAAACTGCTTGTGTCATTGTGGTGGACTGACCCTCTTGGGACACAGTGTTAAGAACAGAGAGGGAAAGGCCACACACGCCCCTTTATCTCCCTGCAAGGGCCAGGACAAGCACCAGCACAAACATTGCTCCGGTCTGACCGGCCCCACTGCCAGCCTGCAACGAGGGAGGCCACCCCCCCAGCGCTGCAGAGAGGAGCTCTTACCCATCCGCCATTCTCCTGGATCCAGGGATCTAGGTGGTCGGTCAAGTACGTGGTCATCCACGACACAATGCGCTTCACCAGTACCCGCATCTCCTTGTCAACGCTCTCCACGCACAGGGCCCCCCCGAAGGAGAAGAAAGCCACGATGCGGCCCCAGTTCACCCCGTCGCGGAACAGTTCGTTCACCACCTGCTCGAAGCTCTGGTAGGCCGTGCCAGGGGTGATGTGGAGCTGGGAGGTGAGGTCGCTGAACGCCCGCCGGTACCTCAGCTCGAACTCATCCCCCGCCTCCCTCAGCGCCTGCCTCACGTCGGCCGCCCGCTGGATCTCGTGCACTTCCAGGCTGCTCCGGTGCACGGTGGCCCCGTTCACTACGTGGCTGGCGGCGGGCGCGTGCCAGGAGGGGCTCCCGTTGAGGACGCCGTCCATCTCGTCCTCCCCCGCCGCCGCAAAGTCAGTCCTGTTCTCATCATCCTCCTCCTCCAGCTGGCTCCAGCTGTACCCCTTCTGCGAGAGCTTGTAGGAAACAAAGTCAATCACCAACTCCCGGTTACTGCTGGACATTTTCACACCTGGGGCACCCTCAATGAGTCCATGGTCCGGGGCACAAGCAGATCAGCGCTTAGCAGGTCCCGGTTATGCTCCTCTTCCTCGAGACCGATGGCAACATCTGACCTTCGCGCACAGGAGGAGAGAGGCACCGAAACGGTTAATGCCACAGCTCTTAGATGCGCCCGCGCCATTACCACCGACAGCTTATCCTCAGACCGAGCTCACCCCCGCAGCTCTACGCCGAGGCTCCGGGGGCCACCGCATCGAAAAACCCACCGTTAGATCCCCCCTCCCGGCACACCATCCCCAGGCCCCGGGGCCACCCCCCCCGTCTAGCTCCGAGCAGCCCCCAGATCTCACCGGGTGCGGGCAGCGCCTTGGCAGGCCGGCAGCGGGCCGGGCCGGGGCGAAGGCGGCTCTCGTTGTGCTGGAGCTGCGGGCCGGCCCGGCCGCGCTCCGCCAGTCCCGGAGCGCCGCGGCGGCGGCACCGCCCCTGCCCGCCCCCGCCCCGCCCCGCCCGTTAAAGGGCCCGGTGCCCCCGCCCCCTCCGCTGGCCCAACGTTGCCCAACGGCGGCGGCAGCGGGCGGGCAGCGCTGCCCAAGGGTCACGGCTTTGATGGTAACCGCAGCCCTCGCCGCCCCTCTGTCCTGGCGGGCGGATGGGATAAACCGCTGAAAACCCGCGGGCGAGCGCTCGCCAGCGGGGCTCGCAAGGCACGGCCCGCCCGGGGGCTGCCGCCGCCCGACCGTGTGCCCTTACGGGAGCGATCCCAGCCACCGCCAGCAGCGCGCGGCCGCCGGGACGGTGACACGCCGGGCAGCGGCGGGCGGGGGCGCCGCAAGGGGGAGCCGGACCCCCAGGCCACCGAACGGCCCCCACCACTACCGGGTCGCCCCCCCTCCCCGGTGCCCGGGCCAGTCCCGGGCCGCCCCCCCGCGGCCGCCGTACCCGGGGGGCGGGGCCCGCGCACGAGGCCCGACACGGCGCACGGCCCGCCAGCCAATCATCGCTGGCGAGAGCCCCCGCAGGGGCGGGGCCCCGGCAGCGCGCCCTCCCCGTTGGCTGAGCCGCCCGTCACTCACGGCCTGCCCTACCCCGCCCCTTACCTCAGCGGCCGGCGGAGGGTCCCCGTCCTTCCCAGCCCTGCCCCGCGGGCCCGGCTGGCAGCGACGCCGCGGGGGTCGCCAGCAGCCCCGCCGGGCCTCGGCCCAGTTCAGCAATCTCGGGGCTCCTTCCGCATCGCCCGCCGAGCGGCCGGGGGGGTGCGGCAGAGTGGGAGGGGGCGGGAGAGGGTGCGGTGCGCATGCGCACGGTGCCGCGAGGCTGGGCGGGGAGCGTCGGTTGGACGGCGCGGAGGCGCGGAGCGCACGCGCGGGGCCGGCGGGCACAGTGCGCAGGCGCGGAGGTGTCGGGTGGAGGGCGAGGCTGTAGCGCCCCCTGCCGGGCGCGCAGGGCGCAGCTGCAGGCCCGGTGCCCCGGGAGCTCCGCGGGCACGGAACTGCCTGCGGGCACGGCCCCCGGCTCCTCACTGCAGTCTGGGCTTAGCCTGGGTGTCCTGTGTCTCCACAGTGCTCCAGGAGCCCGCGGCGGGGCTGTAAGAGGAGGCTGATGCGAGCAGTGCAAGCGGCTGTGGTATCCAGGGAATCTGGGTCACCAGACGGTGGAAGCCGCATTCCCCGTGCCCAGGGGTCAGAGGGGTTGATTTGGTGAGGAACAACGGGTGAAAGCCGGGCAGCGAACACTAGCACAGCCGTCGTACCAAGGCCTGGCTGCGGTTAGCTCTTGCCCGGCCCTGCTGGCACCGGCTCCGGGACCCGCCCACTGGCCGCTGATAGGGCGTCCCGAATGTCACTCAAAACGCCACATCGCCTGATTGGCCAAGGGCGCCCCGCAGTGCATTATGGGAGTTGTGGTTCACAGCTCGCCGTCCTTCGGTGTCGCGGTTCGAATGACCACTACATTTCCCATAGGCCTTTGCGGGCATCGCTCATCTCCGCAGCCCTGGTTGTCTCATCCGGGTCCTCTGGTGGGTCCAGCAAATTGGCTCGCGGCGGGGGCGCACCGCGGGCGCTGATTGGTGGGTTCGGGCGGGCGGGCCCTGTTTGAAATTCGTTAACGGCGGCGCCGCGCGGGGCGGCGGCGTTGGGGTGAGTGAGGGGGCCTGGGTCGAAACCCCCCCCGACTCCGGCCTTGGCACTTCTTCTCCAGATCTGCTCTGGTTGTGAGGACGCGGCGCTGCCCCGAGCCCACGTATCGGTAACGGGGCCGAAGGCGCGACTCTGTAAGGGGAGGTGGGAGGTGGCTCGGGCCGCTCAGACCGTGGCCGAAACCGCTGTCGCGAAGGGGCCGAGCCGGAGGGTTCTTGCTCTCCCTATGGCATCGCGGTGCTGGAACAAGCCTTGGGCTCGGGTGGGTTCCTCGGAAATGAAGTTCCGAGTCCTTAAAAATATCACAAAATCTGATAGAAAGGTGTATTTCACAATTTCACTCTGTTACTTCTTCTCAGGCAAAATTCTGCTTTACGGGAAAAGAAGGGAAGCTAATCAGGCGAAGCCGGGCTCAAGTAACAGAAAAAGCATTAAGGGAGCTATTTTTGTGCGGTGCTTTTTTTAAGCTAGAAGACCTTCAACTTAATCTAACAATAAGGTGAGGTTATACTGGCTAAAAATAATTTACTTTTCCTTGAACTGCTATTCTTAGACGGCCCCGTCTTCGTGTCTTCTGAAACTTGTGGGATCTCATTTAGGGAGCTCGAGCTGTCAGGGCTGTTTATTTTTGGGGGCGAGGGCGGGTCCGGGCCGTTAGTACGGCGAAGGCTGTGCCAGCACCTCTCCCCTCCCTTCGCTGTAAGTCGGGGTGGTACCCGAGCTCCCTGCGGGCTCCGCTCTCAGCTGGGGAGAGATAAAGGGTTTGTCCCCTAATTTGGGCGTTGCATGACGGAACAGCAGCGTTGCCGTAGTTCTGTACCCGGGATGGTGAATCCAGTGTTGATTCTGTGCTACAGAGAAGCACAGCTGAACACTGAGTGGGGGGCACTAGAGAGGAGGGAGAAGCTGTAGATCCAGAGTGTGTTAGAAGTGTTCACTTCACCCTGCTCAGGGAAAAGCAGGGATGAAGGATGACTTTCCAAAGCTTCTGGCATCATATGGAAGCAGTTCAGGTGGTGGGTGGGATGGTTCCTACCAGGCTGTGGTGATGGGACTGTAGCTACAGAGAGGCAATTTCCAGCCCTTTCTAATGGTCCAATTTACACATTAACCGCTGAAAAGCATCCGGGAGCTTTGTATGTGTTATTATCCCTTAAAAAGGGATGGAAAGCTCAGGGTTCAATGACAATAAAGAAGCTGCCTGGTTAGTGCAGTGTCCTGCATTGAAGCAGCAGCGGGTGTTGGAGCCCAGCAGAAGGCACTGGAATTGCCTCAGCATGTTGCTGTGCAGCTGCCTCAGCCTTGGGGAAGCTTCTGTTGCTTGTTCCTGGTTGCCCATCTTGAGTTTTGAGGCATGTGGATCGACTGGTTTTGCACTTATCTGCTGAAATAATTTGGAATATCCTGTTTGTGTCTGCTCTTATTTTCTTTCTGCTTTCTGATCCTGTTGGGATTTGCCATAAGTAACATCTGTAGCTTGTGAAGCTCCACTGGTGTGTTGTGATGAGGTGTCATCCCCAGGTGACTGGGGGTTTATCTAATTGCACTGTGAGGTGGCGGGAAGGTGCCCTCTCTGTGCCCTCCTTAGAATCCAGACTGGTTTGGGTTGGAAGGGTCCTTAAGGCTCATCTCGTTCCACCCCCCTGCCATGGGCAGGGACACCTTCCACTATCCCAGGTTGCTCCAAGCCCCATCCAAGCTGGCCTTGAACACTTGCAGAGATGAGGCAGCCACAGCTTCTTTGGGTAATCTGCGCCTCACTACCCTCACAGGGAAGGCTTTCTCACTAATATCCAATCTAAATTTCTCCTCTTTTATTTTCTTCTATCACTAGTTGCCTGTGTCCCTATCAGTAGCCTGTCTGGCCGTTGCTACTCCCCCAGACTCAGACTCCTCTGTTCTCTCTGCTTCTGACCTCGATTTCTCATCTTGGAATGCTGCATCCTTTCTCTGACACAATGTCCTGCACAGCTGGGAGGTCCTTTGTCCAGGCAGGGTCTGCTGTTCCTGCTTTTGGCACAAAATTCACAACTACATTGAGAGAAAGATACTGATCACGTCTGTGATGGAATCGTGTTGGTATTTTAAAGCTAATTTGGATTAGAGTGAGGTGTGAAGTTATTCCAAAATACCTACTGTGCTTGCTGTTGGATCAGTCTTATTCTGGGATAGGAATGCTTGTTCCAATTTAGCTTAATCCTTTTTCAAAGCTAACTAATCTAAACCATGCCAAGGCACTCTTCTGGAACGTGCCAAAGTGTAGTTACTCAAAAGAAACCTGACATCCAGAGGAACCCACTGCCTTTTCCTCTGTGTGGATATGGCTCTGCTCCTCTGGAGGCACGTTTAGCTCAGTGAGAGAGCCGACCTAGAAAGAAAGTTAAGGTTTTAATCAGGTAGTTGCTCTATAAAAGGAATTTGAGGTGGTTTTAAAAGTGAGAAGAGCAGATCCTCTTTTCCTGCCCCAGCAGCTCCGTGAACCAGGTGAAAGCTGATCCTGCAGAACGGGGGTGAGGGTTCCCCAGCTGGCTGGAGACACCTATGTCGACACAGGAGGTGATGGATGTGGGGGAGAGCAGGGTCAGGCTTTAAATCCACGCCGGAGCTGTGTAGGGTTACAGTGTGCCCGCAGTCACGCTCAGGGAAATGCACACAGTGCCTGCTAATTAGGGGAATGGCCCTATTAATGAGAAGAAATTTCCTGAGCGCACTTCAGGTGGATGAGTGCCACAGCAGAGAGAAAGAATTTTGGGTTGAGATGAATGTAGTTGTGGTGTCAGAATCCTGCCCAGGTGTTTTAAAACGCCTGCAGGGAGTGGGCAGCGGGGGTCGGGCTGTGCCCAGCCGAGCCTGTGGGGATTGCAGGAGCCTTGTGGTGGCACATTGGAGTGATAAATCACTGGAACGTTCCTGGCCGACGGGAACTGAGTCGGTGGGTGGACGAGGGAGATGCCTTTCAGTGAACTGCTGCTTCACTGTCAATCCTGTGCTGGGCAGGACTTGGAGGATACCTAGGGATTTGAAAAGTGGATACCATGACTTCATCCAACTGAAATGGACCCTCTGGAGTTCAGTCACAATAACTTTTACCTCCCTGTTGTCTATCTCAAAAACCTTGGAGTATGAACCTGAGGCATTGATACAATCCCTTTCTTTTCCTGACTATTCTCTTCTGTCTGGGATGGAGGGAAGGGAAGAGAGAAGGGGTCAGCAATGAGGTCAGTGATGAGAGTGCTGACACTATGGGAGAATAAGGACCTTACACAGTAAAAAGCTGGGAACCACAGCAGTGTAGCAGTGGGCACAAGTAGCTGTGAAACATGATGCCCAGAGCTCTGACTTGGTGAACTGACTGGGGAGGGTGAGGGGAGAATGCAGATGACGCATTTGATTTTTAAAAAAAGTGGAACGTGTTGACAGAAACTCTATCTTGATTAAGGGCAGTAGGAAAGCATTCGATTCCAGCCATGTCTCCAGCTCAGTTACAGTTGGTTTTGGCTCTGATTCTTCTGTTTGCCTTCTTTGGGCCTTACCTTGACATCTTCACAGCCGTGTAGCTGGTGCTTCTCTAGTGACATTCTTCCCTTTGACTATCACAGTTCTGCTCAGGGGAGCTGAAGGTTTCTCAGTGCAGCCATCCTCAGATTGTGACCAGCCATGGTACCCCCTAAACACTGCATTTCCTTATTTATGGAGCACACACCATCTGGGTTGAACCATGTGTGGTCTGCCTAGACAGATGGTTTAGGGCTGAGGCTGCGTGGATTAGGAATACGCTGCTTTGGAGTTGCTTGGGCTCATAAAAGCAAAGTTCAGGTGATTTCCTTGGGGAGGGTTTTATAACATCCTCGTGGGCTTTGCCTCGCAGCTGTGCGAGGCACCGCGAAAGCACCTTTGCAAAAAGGTTTTGATGTAATTTCAGGGTTTATAACTTTGTCGCTGGCTTTGTTCCTGTTCCGTTGAGTTTAATATCACCTGTTGACACCGGGACTCCTCTTGCTGTCAGTGCTCCATTAATTAACTGCAGGGACTGTTTGACATGGTCACAGTGCTCGGTTTGTTTATAGCCTGGCCAGCCTTGGGCTAGTGCTGTGGAATGCAGGAGGGCCTGACACTGCCCTCCTTCTGACTTTTTGCTTGGTAACAATGCTCTACAGAGCCATTTTCCTGCTTTGAAAATCAATTTACTCTCTAGAAG